TTTTAAAAATTTATATAACTTTTGAAAATATATATTTCAAAAATTTTTTCTAATAATTTTAATTTTAATTTTAATTTTGATTTTTATTTTAATTTCAACTTTTATTTTTAGTTTCGATTTCCATTTTAATTTCAACTTTTATTTTTAATTTCAACTCCTGTTTTTAATTTTGACTTTTATTTTAATTTCGACTTCCATTTAAATTTTGAAATATCAAAATTTTAAAATGGTATTTTGAGGTCAATTTCAAGATATTTATATTTTAGGTTTTGGATCCCAAAATAATTTTGCATGCAAGTATAATATAATATATAAATTCTATAATTAATAACTTTGTAAATTTATTATACAGTACAAACATGAAATAATAACATATACTTATTTCAGTAATTTTATAGTATGTAAACATTTGTTAAGAATATTACATGATCTGATAAAAACATGTTGTTCATATACAATATAAGTATAGGTAAAATCCTATACTTACAATATTCATATAATAATAATTATTTTTATTTGGAAATTTTATTATAAATATTATGTGTAAATGTTTATAATATTTAAACAATACTAATTCAAACTCATTGTAATTATTGTCTAGTTATTCTGAAAATCTTTAATTATAATATATTAAATTATTAAAAATTTTGGGAACATATTAATATTAATAAATTTTGAATTAATATGATATCTAATAAAATTATAACAATAATATAATTATATTCAATAAACAAATACTAACCTTAATTGTTGTAATAAATTTTGAAAGATATTGTTAACAATACAATTTCGCTATGATAAACTTTGAAGGATATTATTAATAGTGTAATATCGATTAAAATTGTTGTGATAAACTTTTGAAAGATATCATTGACAGTGTAGTGTCAATTAAAATTGTTGTAATAAACTTCGAAAGATATCATTGACAGTGCAATACCAATTAAAATTGTTGTGATAAATTTCGAAAGACACTGTTAACAATACAATGTCAATTAAAATTATTGTGATAAACTTCAAAAAATATTATTGACAGTACAATGTCAATTGAAAATCGTAGCGATATAAATGCAAGTGATGACATCGAAATGATATATTATGAATATCTAACATAAACAAAAGTTATTGATATGAAATTATCACAAAAATGATAATATTTACAAAATTTTACATATGAAAATATCAAAATCAATAACCTTCTAAAATTATCAATATGAATTTACTATGAAAATAATAATATTTATAAAATTTCACACATGAAAATATCAAAATCGATAATCTTCAAAAGTTATCGATATGAATTTACTATGAAAACAATAATATTCGCAAAATTTTGCCATGTGAAAATATCAAAATCGATAACCTCCAAAGGTTAGCAAAAATCTTTGAAGGATAACATATTGAAAAATAGCAAAATACTTATATTAACATTAACTTTCGAAGATTTTCACTAAAAAAAATTTCCTGATAATCAACATTTATATTCTGGTGTAAATGAAATTTCAGTTCAAGAATTAACTTGGAAGGATCTGATAGCTAATCAAATTATTAGAAATAATTCAAATCTTATTTAGAGATTGCCAGAAAATTTAAAAAAGACATTTATGATATATATTTATTGATATATAGTACCTTAGCAGAATTAGAAAACTAATATTTGCCTATATATGTTGAAAACACTATGCTCCATATATTAGAAACCTGTAAGATTGATGAAACCTGCTTCTATATCAAGAGTCAAAAATATGTATAATAGGTTTGTATCAAATTTTTTATCTGAGAATTTATCAAGTTTACTATATGAGTTATCATGTACAAATGAGTGGAAAGAGAGTGAAGATAAACTTGAATTTGTTGCTACAATGAATGAAGGTACATATGTAAAAATATAATTGTATCATTAATCATTTTGGAGAGTCAGCACTTATTACCATGTAAGTTATAGTAAGAATAATATATCATCTTCCAGAGAAACATATTGTTAATTTATATTTTTAGGTTTAAACAGCAGAGTATATCAAGTGCTGATAGAAGAGATGAGAGAGTAGGAAGATGACCTGATATCATGTTTATGAGTAAAGAAGATGATAAATATTACGAATTAATGTATGCAGGATTATCTGGGTGCAAAAACGATATTACAAATTACACGAAACAGAAATCCCTATTCGATATTTCAACAATTCTTCCATTTTAGCCAATTTTATATATACTTTATTAATTTTCCGTAATATATATTAATAGTTAATATGTCTCTATTACACAATGCACATAATCACAGATCAAATAAAAATTTAGATAGTTCGACAGTAACATTAGATAGATTTTTATCATCCTGAATTATTAATAAAGAATTTCAGTTAGAGGTCTTTAGGAATCATGTATCATGTGTTATTTTTTCGTGTAATGTATTGCAGTAATTTTTCCGAAATAATTTTCTTGGCAAAAGTGATCGGTGTGAGTTTTTCTGATACATTACTATTACTAATACCTAATTTGAATTAATTTATGATCATGTAAAACGTTAATATGGAAGAGCAGAACATGGAATCGGAGACTCATAAAGCCTTAACCCCTGAATATTTGGAGTGGCATGCTAATTTAATCGGATTACCAAGTATTTTGACAGATAAAGTTTGTTCCAAGTTATATAAAAGGTATAAGAATGAAACTGGGCTTGATCCCTGGAAAAACGTTAACGCGAATAAAGACTTAACCCCAGAATATCTGAAGTGGCAAGCTAAAATTACTGTATCGCCAGGTATTTCGATAGATGAGATTCATTCCAAGTTATATAAAACATATAAGAAAAGAACTGGACTCGATCCCTGGATAAACTCTGAAACTTCTGAATCTTCACAATCGGAATTGATGAATTAGATTCGAAGTTGATGGATAAGATTACTGAACTTGAAAAAGAAAACATCAAAATTAAAGGTGAGAATGTGAAGTTAAAACAGGGCATAGATGAACTTAAAAAAGAACTAGAATTTAAGAAAAATCGCAAATTTCAGGAGAAATGCATCCTAATAGCTCGAGTATTGCTTGGAGAGGAACCCGTAGTCGAATATCGTCCATCTTTTATGGAGGGATTAGAACTTGATGCCTTCTTCCGAAGTAATCGAATTGCGTTAGAGGTACAAGGGGCGCAACATCGGCTTCATAATACCAGTTGGTATAAAGATATCAAAAAACTCGAGGATATTGTTAATCGTGATCGGAAAAAAAAGAACCCTATGTCAACTTAACGGAATTTATCTCCTTGAGGTGTGGTACGATGAGAATCCGGAAGTCACTATTCCTATGAAGATATATAAATATAGAGAATGTATTAATCGGGAAATGTTTGAACTCTCATAATTAATAACTTTATAAACTTTATAATATGTGTCAATATATAAATTGTAAGTGTTTAATATATACGTTGTAATGTATATTATTTTTTGCTCTCTCAAATGTTGGGGGAATTATCAACTGTAGAACATAAACTACATTTTTTCGCGAATATTAGATAATCATACAGTACTTTGCCTTTTGTCATACGTCCGGACGTCCGGTAACACAAGAATATTAAATAACAATCAGTAGATTTGTAATCATTTTTTTTTCAACACTACAAATGTCAATAATTCAAAAGGTGAACTTTCTATGGACAATAAGTTTTATTTTTTTTCGCGTCAAAAATATTAATCTATATATAATTTATAGTTCGAAGGCTGGGAGGCGGCTTTGGATCCTGACAGCCTCAGCCTTCTTTCATTCTTAAGTTACCGCAAAACAAAAGATGATTTTACTTATGATAGGCAGATCGAACACTTATCGATATCTAAGTTCGTGTCATATCTCAAAAAAAACATTGTGGATGAAAGGTGGAAGAAGGCCGTTTCCGCTCTCGACGAGGGAGTGTTAAAGGCGAATATCTATTTTGTTAAATTATGATAATTGCGTGCAAAGGATAGGGAGGAGTTGGGCTATTATGCCAAAACAACCACCTAAGTGGCCTGATTACGTATCGGGTTGGGACTGGGTTATTATACCTGGTGGGCTCATCCTAAACCTGCGTGAAGGCTAGAGACTTTTATGTCACAATGCCAAGAGCTATTATGCTCATTCGCAGTCCTTTGCCTTCAGGTTTTAGTGCAGGCTTTTTTAACTTCTTTTTGTTACTTTCATAGCTTCAAGCAAAAAGGGAAGATGTGAAGATGTTCTGGGCAAGAATCGAATTCGAGCAAGCAGGAATGCAGTTGAGACACGCTGAGGTATGTCTAGTGATCAATTATATCAATTGACAAAAACTGTGAAAAACCCATATCGATTCTATTTTATTTTCATGGTTTGCAGGCTCAGTTTGCTCTCAATCAAACTCTCACGGGAAATAAAGCCAATGATATTTTGAACGAGATGAAATTGGATTTCATATCGAGTCAGAAGAATAATAATGGAAAACGCCTATCAGAATCGACAATAGATGACAATATCATGGTCTCAGTTTCTTCAGCTAACAAGAAGGTTAGTACATATAATAATTATGCGTAGAATATCTCTTTTTGAAATCTTTCTCTATCTCTACAGGTTAAAACCACCAATTCCACATCCGAAGATGATGGTGACAAATCACCTACCAAATCTAATTTGGAAGAAAATGATGCGCAATTAATTGAGGAGATCACACAAGAACTAAATGCAGAGATCGCACAAGTATTTTGCATCTGCTATCTTTTATGTATAATAACGATATACATCCAAAAATGCCTTTTCTGACTTAGAATATGTTGTTTTTTTTATAAATTTCCTTAGGAGAGACAGTATAATCTCAGAGAACGAAAAGAAATCAACTATGCCGAAATTTCAGGCTCAGACATAGATCCATATCATGTAATTATTCTTGTTACTTTCTTGCATAATAAAAAATATCCAATTCTCATTATTTTTCTTTATTTTGTTGGTTTGAAATTTATCAAGTATCAAGCATTTGACCCCCCGCCAAACAACCTGGATTCTTCGGTTATGTCACTAAATAGGCCAATAATAATGAAAACAACATATAACCTGATTTCTGCGCATATAATCTGTGCGTTCAACTCAACGTTACATTTGGTCAAGGAAACCGTCGAGGAAAGTTTATTTGGGAAGATCGAAAAGCTTCTCAAAATGAGAAACAAATTGATCATAGGCAAATCGATAACCCTAAAACTGGAGGAGATTTTTCAAACGGACTACGCAGAAATTAGTTCGAAGATAATAACCAAAACTGAGGTCGAAAAAAATGTGGAAGCGAGCGAGGAATCACGATTTCTCTTTTTTATTCGGCATACCCTTCTTGATTTCATCGCGATGTTTAAATACATGTCGCCCAAAGTGTTAGCTCGAGATATGTCCGAAAGGTCGTATATTGTCGAATGCCTTTCGCCTATACTTCGGTCTTTCAGGAATGCATTTCCCGAAATTAGATACGATTGGATTGAGAAAGATGTTAAATCCTTAAGGGACGCGAGCAATATGTTTGCAATTAACGTAAGGACCCGAAAAACTGATCTTTTGGTTTTGAGGCTATCGGACGCAACAGAAATTTTACATGTTGAAGTTTCTGGACCACCTTATAAACTGGACAAGAAACACACGGTCAGGGATGCCAAAAAGTTGCTCATGATGGGCGTTTGTAATTTATGCAGGATACTGGCAAATAATTTCGATTGTCCGATTGATGATGCTAAGAAAGTTAAATCTTATAGCATTCAGGCAATCGGGGATCGATTAACATTGTTTGCCGTATCACTTGTAAACAAGAAAAAATATTTGGCCATCGAATTGGCTTCGTGCATAATCCCCTTTTCGTTTGAAGCAATAGGATGCTACACAAAAATCTTTAATTTTTTTGCGATCATAAGGAATGAGTTTATTGAACAAGAAAAACTGCTAAAAAGAATTCGTTCTTTTATGCCCTCGGTTGATGATGATACCAGTGACCTACGAGAGTGGATACATTTACCAGATGATAATCTAATACCCGTAACGGAAGGGGAAATGGATGAACTCTTTTTAAATGATACTTAGTAAAATTAAGAATGAAATCACTTACGAAACACGAAATAAAAAAACAGAATTATTGATACTTTATTGATAATAATTGTATATTTTAACGTAATTTTTTATGCTACATTACAAATGAAAAAAGCCGGCCATATAGAATCGTGGAGTAGGAACCAAGAGGGAGGAATAAGCCGGGATCCTAGGCCCCTTCACATGCGGCAATGTAATGGCTGTTCCTTCGCTATCTTTGTTATTGTTGTTGCTAAGACCTATAGTGGAGAAATTGTTACTACTGCCAATAATAACAGAATTATCCTTTTTCCGGTTTTCTTTCTTGATCCATTCCCCAATTTTGTCCAATGAAGTTTTTATTGGAGTCTTCTGATGACGGTAAAAGCTGGCAAGTGTAGATATTTTCGTGGGAGAACATTTTCCTCTTTTTCTTCTCTCATCAAATAGGGTGGTAAATTTGACCCAGAGAGTTTGAGTTCCTTCGGGATATTCAGATTGGTGGCTCTGCACAGATACTTGCCCTAATAAAGAAAATACGCACCATATTAATCAACATGTAGAATACATGCTAAACTTGTAATATAATACAAACCTTGACTTCAGGCTTCACTTCTCCATTCCGTTTCATTTTGCACTCTATTCATATCATTTTTTAGAGCCAACATATCGCATCCAACGTAGCTGGAATTGGGGGTGGAATTTGGTGTAGGCTTTTGCGTAGATAAATAAATACTACGGCAATAATTACGTAAATTATTGTATTTTCAGGAATAACAGAAAAAATCATTTCCATTGTTAATATACCCCAGTTATATAATTCGTAAGTCGCGATTACGCGATGAAAATAGTAAATAAAAAATGGTCAGGAATGTTGAGATGCATTTTGCAGTAGATAAATTGGTTATTCGATTAATTGTTTGATTGTTTGATTGTTATATCACTCAATGATATTTTTTTTTGATACTTTGTTAAAGACGAACCTGCAAATTCGACCTGCTGAGATAACACACATTTTTATACTTAGAACTCGATATCAGCTATCCATGGCATTGGTTCTTCACATCTCGTATTAAATTAAGGCAATAGATTATTAACAATTGCAATATTTATTAATACATGACGATTTTGTACTATTATGTTGATTATTACATATAGGCAGATCGCGAACCTATAAAATCGTGTGCATACAGCGCTGATAATCTCATATGTATCACAATTTTTGTTTGTTACTTAATTGAGGTCTTATTTCGGAATAAATGGGTTTCGATTCTCAGAAGATAAACCACAAAAAAAGAAGTATCTAAGCTATTTTTTGTTATATCTAACTAATTTATCATATTTTTTTTACTTTCATGTAAAATTCCATTATCAAACCATTTTCTTGTTCCAAGATCCAATTCGAAACTTTTCCATATTAGTGGGTATGGATGAGATTTTATTAAAGTGTTCAACTATTTCATTCAGAGGATTTTTAAATCCAAATCAAATTTTTTTTTTATTTTTTCATGATAGACCATTGAAGAAAGTTCCCTTAAGGTCTTGATTATTTAAGTTGATATTCAATGATGTGGCATATACCTTTATCATCTTGAAATATTTGTCCACAGACTGATTGAGTTGTATAGGTGGCAGAATTTCTGGTCTAATAACTAATGATATAGTAGTTCCATCAAGTAGTGTAAGAGTTTTATTTGAGAAGTTCACTTTCATTGTATTATTTTTAAACCATAGGTTCACCAATATCAGTGGAGCTGGCAAGGCCAATATATATTCAGGACTATTAAAAATAAGAATATCGGTAACTTTGACTTGTTTCCATTTAGGGCTTTGAGACAGAATTGAAATAGGGATTTCACGATTTTCCCTATTATATCGAGTTTGCTAATTGGATTGTATACTTCTACATCAGAATTATCATCAATTTTTAAACCTAACCCATTTACTATCTCCTCACTTATAATATTACAATCAGTACTAGAGTCTAATATGGTCATTACTGATAATTTATAACTCATAGAGTCACTCAAGGACTTGATTTTGCAAGATAAAATTATCATTGTGATGCTTTATTATAATTATATATTCAATAATATATTTTTTACTTTGTATTAATAAATATAATATTATAGTATCAATGACAACTAAAGCTATATCAGAAAATAATCATGAATTCCGAAATAGTAATAGTGTAGTACCTTGTATTATTAAACAAGTGTCAAATAAAAAAAATTCAAATCTCTTTTTGCCAATTACTGAAGATAGTGAAACCTGAGATTCATTATGAGATTATAAACTCGATAGTGAACATTTCTTGATATAAACACAATCCATGTAAAGCTAAAAAAAAAAAAGAAATTTTTAAACAATACCACATCTGAGTCTTTGTCTGAGTCTTTGTCCTCATCTGGGTCTAGCTCTAAATCATCTAGTAGTGATGAAAAGTCAGTTAATATAGTTATAAACAAAGTAGTAAGGGAGTACAATTACTTTTTATCATAAAGACGAAATGGTCTTGTAGCTTTGGAGATTGATTTTTTTCTGATAATTTACTACAACATAGTTTTGTGCAGAAGTGTTATTGTCAGGTGAGTGCCATAATAAGGCTTGACCAGCACTAAATTTTTTGCTCCATGCAATACTACAGCATAAACTGCTTTTAATTTATATAAATGGTAAGGAATTAAATCATAGTCTTTTAAGAATCTATTAAACTATTTACCTGAATTACCCATCTGACTAGAAATTATAACTTTTTATATTTATGTGAGTAGTTCTTTAGCTTATTTTTAATTCTTTTCCATAGATTTAAATTTTTTAGGAATATCTGGTTGACCTCAATTCTTCATATAACTCATCACTTCAGCATCTGTAATACATAAAGATGTAAGTTCAATGGGACATATACAAAGCATTATTATAATATCTGCGAGAGCTTGTAAATTAGGTAAAGTAGAAATATTATACTTATCTAATTTTTTCTTAACTGATTCTAATGTAAAATAATTTAAATAATCAATTCTTTCAAATGCCTTGACAAATTTATATCAATTCTATTAGATTTCATTGGTTTCTTTTATAATTTCAAAAAATTTTATAATATTGATTATCTCAGATAAAGTATCAAGATTTTTCAATTCTCTTCTAAATTATGAAAAATGTTGTTACTAGTTGACCTTTTGAACTAATTTTATTTTCCAAAAGGCAATTTACAATTAGTAACTTGTAAACAGTTATTTTAGTTTACAAATTGAAGAAGATAATAGAAGAAGAATAAAAGAAATATTTTAAGTTAAATGCTAAAACTAATTAAAGGACTTGAAAATTTAGAATTACGGAATTTAAATTATTGATTAATAGTTAAATTTCAAAAGTTAATTTAGGAAATTAAGACAGGAAGTTAAATAGATTGTCAATAGTTTTATAAAATAGTAACAGAAATTTATAGATCAGAATTTATATTCTTTGAATATAAATTAATAGAGAATAACAGAGTTTTAAGATAACAAATATGAGTTTATTATGAAGAAAACCAATAATCCAATTACTTTAGGATTATAAAAATATTAATTCAATTATAGAATTAATTACAGTTGAGATTACTTTCTAAATTTCACTATTAAGAATTATTTGAATCTAATTTGAAAACTATCTTAATTTTCTTTAAAGTGAAGAGAAAACTCATCCTTTTTATAATATTTGATTTTATCAGTAAGTTGGTCAGTAAATTGGTTAAAATCTTGACCAGTAATTATATCAATCAGTTGGTTACTAAGTTGGTCAATCAGTTGACCACTAAATTGATTAGTAAATTAATTAGTAACTGGGTTACTATAATCTATATTATTGATTTATATAATTCGTATTACACTAATAAATAAATAAATACTATTTATAACTAATAATTAAAATATACTAAATAATTATATTAATAAAATAAATACAAATAAGAATAATAATAAATTATTAAAGTGAAGAAAACTCATGGTAATAATGTGAAGAACTAGCATTACCATTTAATACCAATAGAACTAAGGCATAAGTTTTAGCTCTTACATCTCTAATATTAAGTTTATCCTGTAAAATCCATTGTACCATATTTTCAATAGTCTTCTCCTTTATTCTTTTTTGGGGGTTTATTGAAGATTGTAATATTTAAGATTTTATTAGAGGCAGTTTTACAATAGATACTTTCACATTGGTCATTTTTCTGAGTAGAGAATAAGACATTCAATTCTCACTAAACCCATATCTATTTTGCAAAATTTGTTTAGTTATCTCTTTGATAATCTTTTCTTTCAAACTTTTTGAAAGTTCAGTTATAGCTATTTTACAATTATATTTAACTGAATTTATAGTTTTATTTTTTCCACTTTTCTGATTAGATATCAATATACTTATCTATTTACTGTTAAATTTAAAATTATCTCAAAGACATCATACATTGTCAAGCTTGATTTTATTTTTTATCATTAGTCCTTATAAGAAATACGCATGTTTAAAAAATACTTAAAATATAATTAAAATATTATTGAAATATTATTAAAATATATTTAAAATATATTTAAAATATATTTAATTATATTTGTAATAATCTACTTAAAATATTATTATTTTATGATTAAAATATATTTAAAATATACTTAAAAAATATTTAATTTAGATAATAAATAAGTATATTTTAAGTATATATATTTAAAACATACTTAAAATATTATTAAAATATATTTACTCATTACCTAAATTAAGTATTTTTAAGTATATATTTAAAACATATTTACTTATTATCTAAATTAAGTATTTTTTAAATATATTTTAAGTATATTTTAAATATTGTAATTTTTATAAGGTAAACTTATTTTCTATATCTTTATCTAAATTTATAATACTATTAGTTTAAATATCTATTATATACAGGATTTCTTTTTTATCAAAAATATCCTTTTCAAATAATTCATTAATCAAAATACTATTTTTACAAAGTATATCTCTATAAACAAGTTCATAAATTATTT